GGATGAGAGGCAGATGTGCTGGAACAATGGGGGGGGGGCAGCAGACTAAATGGGGAAAGGCTAGAAAACCTACCCAGAAACGGGGAAAGTGGCCGCCTCCCTTCAAGGGTCATGTCTTCACCTGGTTTGAAAATAATAATGGGGTGGAGTGAGAAGGTTCTAACAAGGAGGCAAGATGCAACAGAACAGTACTTCTCAACCTTGGCAACCTTAAGATGTGTGGACTTCAAGTCACAGAATTCCCCACAGCAGGGCTGGCTGAGGAATTCTGGGACTTGGTCTACACATCTTAAAGCTGCCAAGGTTGAGAAACACTGCAACAGAACCTTAATGCAGTCAATTTGGTGTTTGGGTCTAAAAATGCTGATTAGAGCTCATACTCTTCTATTGGGGTATCTGCGGGGTGTGGTTGAAAAAAGTCAAGTTGGTGGCCATGATGGTCCAATCAAAGCTCTGCTCAGTTTTTATGCACATCGTACATGCAATGCACATAAAAACTGGCAGAGCTTCAACCATACCATCACAGCCACCAACTTGACTTTTTTGACCACACCCTGCAGACACCCCTGTCTTCCTACTCAGATGACCAAACTCTGCTTTTATTGTCACCTCTCCTGTGTTCCTAAGTCAGCAATCTATCCTTTCCAATGATGGTTGAGGAATTCTAAACGATGCTGCAGGAGGTCATTTCTAAGATATATTATAGTACAGTCAAGCTTCCCCAACCCTTAAACCAGTGTTGTCCAAACTTGGCCACTTTAAGATGAGTGGACTTCAACTCCCAGAATTCCCCAGGCAGCCATGCTGGCTGGGGAATTCTGGGAGTTGAAGTGCACTCAAAGTGGCCTAGTTTGGACAACACTGCCTTAAACTCTTCCAGCCAATCTTCGCTGATGTAGCCCATCTACCTTTCACATATCCACACCAATCAAATGGCAATTCCACCTCTTCCATTTTTCCCCACTGGCTGGTCTGGTTTGACGTTCAGTCACCATTATTGGTCTACTGAGTTTAAAGTAGTTGTCGGGGTACAGCATATCTCTAGCTAATTCCTGTGCCGGTAAGCCAGCCCAACATTATTGGCCAATCTTTCCTGTCCTCAAATTTCAACTGGCCAACCTGGGTAGCGGAGTTTTAAGATTTCCTCCAACCAAGACAAGACTGACTTGTGGCAATTCCACAAGCTGGTTTCATGCCAAGCCTCTTTGCTCTCCATGCTTCTCGCACTGGACTCACCAACACACCAAGGAAATTCATCACTATCTTCGGCTTGGTATGACTTCAGTACAGACAGACACCAGTCGTCTTCTACTTCATGACGGCTATAAATAGAGGCTGCAATGACAAGGAGCCAGCATGAATAGTGCCTTCTGGCTTGAATGTCAGGGAGATGCAAAGGTGGGGCACTGATCTGACTGCAAGGGAGCAAGTTGATTTCTTTCTTTCTTTTTCAAATGTATATGACTACTCATCTCACACAAAGTGACTCTGGGCAGTGTACAATAAAACCAACAATTAAACCATTCTACAGAGCTGCATCTGGATATATTTTGGAAAGAACCGCTGTAGTTCTCCTGCACGCACTGCTTTATTTCAGTAGCATCATAGCAACGTTCCACCACTCATCTTTGGGACAGACCTTCTTTAAATGTTTCTGAGGGTCTTTTCCATTGAGTAACCAATGCCCTTCCTCCAAACTGTCTTGCTTTGGGACCAAGAATTCCTTCACAGGATGGTTAATATGACTCTCTCACCCAAACCTTTAACAGCTCTGGCACCTGTCAAGACAAGACTCACCACCTCAGCTATCTGGGGTTAGGCTTAGGTTTTGAACATGTTACCTTCTTCCATGGGGGTAGAAGCTTCCAGCCATTCTCGCACAATTCTGATGCCTTCTTCAGTCATGATTTTGGGGTACCTAGGACAAGTAGAACTTGCTGAGATAGAATCCCATCAGCTTCCACCCTAGGGTGACTGTCATGGGCCAGACAAACATCTATTTATAAATCTTTCTTCAAAATAGTCAGCCAATAAATACGGTTCTAGAAAAAACTATTGTTGTGGCCTCTGGATTCTCTGCCCCCAAACACTGAATTTTAGCGGCGACCTTGCTGAAAACTGACAGAGTGTTTTCCTGACATTTTGAGATGGAAAACACACAAAAGTATAATCTATACCGGAAAACGATTTTGCAAGGAAAAATCAGGCAGATGAAATCCAATATATCCAGAGTTATAATTGGGAAGGCTGTGCTCTCTATCTAATTTCAGCTACAAGATCTACTCACCTGTGCTGTAATAACTTCAGCAGCAAGTCATTCCCTCTGTTAGACATGATATCTTCAGGAACCCTAGAAAGTCAGAAAAAATAGAATGAAGGTCACAGCGAATGAGAGACATGGATCTTCCCTATTCCAAAGGGCAATTATTTCATGAAAGCTAGATTTGTTTATGGCCTCCTCGCTGACAACTTAGCCAACTTGGCAAGACTGGCTGGACATCTGGGCAATTTTCCTTGGTTGCTACTTTACTCACGTGGTGATGATCTCATCTTTGGTTCTGCGGACCAGCAACACGGGACCCTGATACCTGAAGAGGAGACCACAGGAAGACTTAGATTTGGTTTAGTGTAGGCAACATTACACTACTAGTGACGTTAAGTGAAATGGGCCCCGTGAGGTGCTAGGTGGGAGGTAAGCCAGGATGCAGACGCAAACTCATTAACAACTTGGTGGGCAAAAAGCAAGTATAAGAATGTATCTTGCATGCCCACAATGGCTTCATATAATCACTTTCCTATTTTGTTCCCATTCCCCCTGAACTTGCTACAAACACGAGTAAGCAAGAAGCTTTCCCAACTAACTCACTGGAAATTGATAGTTGCCTGCTTCAGATGAAATGGAGAATTACCTGTTTTATTCTGAGCACATTTTGAAGGGAAGAGCAAAGGGACCATATCGGGGGTTCTGTAAAAGGTTTGGCTTCAAAAGGTTTCAAGCAGGGAGTTTCAAAGGTGAAACTCACAGCTTGGAAAAATATTAAGTGTTAGAAGCTGAAAAATCAAAAAGGCAAGAAGAACTAGGAAGAACTTTCCATAGTAAGAAGTTCTGACCTCTTTAATTTTGCATTCTCCACAGAACCCACTATAATAGTCTCCTTCTGCTGCATCTTCTAGATGTTTCAGAACTTACTGATCTATTATTCTACTTGCATACTGCCAAATCAATACAGACTCATGCTGATTTACAAAACAATCAACAACAACATCTGCAACGGTTAAAACGACCATTGTAAATACAAGTAAATGAGCATAACCAAGAATTAATTATAATACAATACAAGGAAAAACTATAGTGATAATGAAAAATAAATAAAACAAATGGTAACAAAACCAACTAAAATAACATCAACAAGTCAATTAATAAAAGTAATTCAAAGTTAAATTTGGCAATACACTATTCAACCAAATGCTGGAAAAGTTCCATCTTCAGTAGCTTCTGGGACTTCAAATCCCAGCATTCTGTGTTAGGAACTCAGAATTCTGGGAGTTGCAATGCCAACCTATCTGCGGGGCTCCAGGTTTGGGAAACCAGAATGTACCACGGGACTACGTAAGTATCCACTAACAATGTATTCCTTTGCTATATTAGCGTTCATTAAAACGTTACTTACTACCATATTTTTCTTACCACGGCAAGACAGAGCTGGACCACAGATATTCTAATACAATTAAAACAATAAAGCACCAGGTGCTGCAGGATGCAAGAAACAGAGATGCAACAAACAGAGATGCAAAAAAATGGACACCACAGACCAGTTTTTGAGACAGTTTTCTAAAAGAGGGACAGTATGAAAAAGACACTGTTTCTTGCTCCAGGAATTTTGGAAGCTGTCTTCTGTCAAGTCAGTTCATTGACCGATTTTGCTTTTTGGCAGAAATTATTTAGATCTTTCACAGCCCTGCCTGCACATTCCAGAACTGAACCTTTGCTATGATGAAATTAATGATGAAATTAACTCCTTGGCTAACCTTCACCTCCACTTACCGCTGACATGCAACAAAAACAAAGCCCCCGATGGGTTAAAACAAGGGAGGAGAACCTGCTTCTAGCCAGATGTTTTGGACTTTCTAAATCCTGGCCACTGGTCATGGGCTGGAGCGGTGGACCAAAATCACCGAAGGGCACCAGGTTGCCCAACCCTGATTTTAAAAATTAGCCAACGAAGTGTTGGCTTCTTCCAACACTCTTTTGGCAATGGGTTTGCTCCTTGGTTTTTCCTCCTCTCAGCTGCCTACCTGCAGAGCTGCTCCCCGTTGTTCAGGTTCAAGTGTTGTCTCACTGTCCGGGTGACCAAGCCCCCTGTGGAACAAAGAGGAGAACATTATATCACCTTCTCCTCTGGCAAGCAAGCCTCTAGTCCGAGCCAACTTCACACAGTTTTTAACATAATTGCTGTCTGCAGATTCCAACTGACCAGCTAAACCGTTTTCAAGTAATGGGTTTTGTAAGGATCTGGGAAAAGGTCTGGATGCTGAGAGGAAGCAATAGATACTTGCAGACAAGTGGTGCAAAAGCTTCTACCCAATGCTTTTGAGATGCATCCTGACAAACACTAACAGTTTGCGCACACAGGCTTCGTATATAAAGTCATGGGTGTGAAGGGCTGTGACAAATATGAAGGATGATCCTGACCATACTATCCCTGCACGAAAGAGGTCGTCATTCGGCAGAATAGCACGTGGATTATAGGTAGGTAGCCTCAGGTCCAATCCTTGACACCACTAGTTAAAACAACTGTAGGTGAAAGGTTGGAACGCTTGCAGATCTATTAAGATTTCTATCCTTAGCCCAAGGTGGCATACACTGCACCCTGTCCCTCTCCAATTTAATCTGTACAACCACCACCCTGTGAATTTGACTGGGCTAAGAGTGAGGAATGGCCCAAAGTCATCCAGTGAGTTTCTGTAGATAAGAGTAGTCATCAACCTGGGTCTCCTTGGTCCTATTCCATTACCTGCACCACCACTACATCACAATGACTCTCTGCCAGTTTGTATAGACAGCATGGAAGGAGACAGAACAATCTGTAAAATACAATGGGTGTATCTGTTTTCCAGCAAGTTCCTTTTAATTCAGTGGGCCTTACCCCTAAATGAACATGCAGAGGTCTGCAGCCTTAACTTGGCATTTCAGGATCCTGGGCTGATGCTCCCTGGCTGAACATTTATCTGCTTAACCTGCACATCTGTAAACAAATCATTACAACAACACTGCACATCTCAGGGGCCTCCCCACTAAAGGGAAAATCCTGTTGAGAATCTAACCACCACCAGTTTGAAATGCACAAAAACAAAAACCTCAACAGAGCTGCGAAGATCACAAACCCACCAACCTCCATCGTGGTTAAAGCAGAAAACAGAAAAAAAGAATTCCAACCTAAACCATTTCTAAACCTAAACACAGTAACTACTCAGGACTGGGGATTTCATGGCTCCATGACATCTACAACATAATACACAGAACGATAGTAATGTTGTAAACTGGAATTTGAATCTACAAGTGACAGGATAATACAATACTTCTGGGATGACAAGTGAGGGGAAAGAAGCTGAGCCCACCAGAGGAACAGAGAACTATCTTAGTGGTTAAAAAGAAGAAGTTGGTTCAGCTCTTATCAACCAAGTTTGGGTTGAACCATTTAGAAGTCTGGGAAATAGATTCAAAAGAGATGAAACCCTTGGACCATAAAGAAGTGCTCATTTATTGTTCTTCCCCTTACTCCAGCTTTCCGGCATGACCTTGAGAGCAAGAGGGACGAGGTCATCAAAGGAGGCATCCAGAACGACAGCACTGACATCGGGGTAAGACATGGCTGCCCAAGTGGCTGTTGGGTGTGAGGACAAAGAAAAATCAGCATTTACTACAGGGAGAGATGGAATGCAAGCGAGAACATCATGAAATCATAACACAGAGTTCAACATCGGTGGTCCTCCACCTGCATTCCTCACCATTGAATATGCTTCCATGAGATGCCAGGAACTGTAGTCCAGAGTCATCTGGAATGCTACAGATTATCTCCAGCTGCCTTAACATCACCTACTCCCACCCAACCGTCAGCTTCCCCCCAAAGACTTGAATTGTTCCTATCTTAATTGATCTCATGTACCCTCAAAATTGCATCATTCCAAACTCTTTGTGTCCACAAGGGGCCACCAAGTATGGAGAACCTTGTTTCCATTAGCATCTAATGGGGTAATTGGTGGATTGAGCATAATTACTACAAGAAAGGATTTTGTATGGATTTTCCACCTAGGGCATCAAACCCTTGAACAGACCCTCCTTCTAAATGCATGAACTTGGCAATGCAAATCCTATATCCCTCAAGATGGGCACCTCCCAAAATTTGAGGTGTGTAACTTTAGTTCAGGTGCAGGGCTACACTTGGCCTTGGGGTTTCACTCCAGGGATTGCAGGGTAGCTGTAGAGAAATAGAGGATGACCTTGATGGAGAGAGGGAAGATCCCTTATCAAGGCAACAAACAGATAAATGTGGCTTAAGCCCATTTCTTCATTTAGTCTACCTTGTGACATCAACAAATAAGGGGAGGCCAAGTCTGAGAAGAGGGTGAGATAGAATGAAACAACTATTTAAAGCCGAATGAAATCTGCACTAAATTAATCACCGTTAATATTACTGCACACAATCTAATACTTTTCTCCTTCTGACTTATTAAAAATGACAACATGGTGGCAATTTTTGTGGGGCTTGGGGCTTT